AAGAAAATGTTTTGGGAAGCAAGGAGGGCGTCAAAATATGATGGATCGACCGGTGTTCCTGACCTGTGCGATTCGGTTCTTGCTTTCATCCCTGGACTCCCAAACGACGGACCTTTCGCTGGACGATCAATCATAAATTATATTGACCGTGCCTTGGTCGATCTCGGGCATGCATCGGCCAACATACCCGGTCTGTTGCTGGTCGCTATCTAAACACGGATGAAGATATCATATATGACCGCGGTTTTACGTGCTGTGAAAGGTGTTGAACCTTAATGCGCCAGGGGCTATGGTCCATGTCCAGTTCTGGGGCTTTCTTTCTGTATCAGGTTCATCTGGTGTTTATCCCAACGGGGATGATAGTCACGGACTTGTCTAAGACGCGGACGCAGTGGAATGTACGAAGTTCGCCGCGCTCATCTTCTACGCACGAGCCCCTTTTGTCCGTTACCCCTAGATTTGTCTGTCTCTTTCCCGTGAGAACTAACCCTTGATCGAATTGTCTTACTAGGCATTGATGCTATAGCCTCGGGGCCATGGAGACGATAGCAATTAGCAAAAGATGTTTCGATATGCTACCACAGTCGATCGGTTAACGATGGCCTTGGGCGCTGTCGCGGCCGCTGTGGCCGGAGCGGCACTATCCACTGTTCCTGTAAGTCTTGTGCTCCAGTGCAGTATAAGAGCCTGCTGAGTTTGCAACGGAACAGGTGGTCATTGGAGCCTTCACCCAGCATTTCAGCGACTTTCTAAAGGACAAAACCTCCTCCGATGACTTGGAGCATGATACCCGCCATCTAGCCGTGTATTTCATCTATCTTGGTATACCCTCAACTGCTTCATCTCTAACGACAATCAACTGACCTCCGAGAGGAATCATCTCGTTCGTTGGGCTATCACTGAGTACTTTGGGATTTACTCGGGCTGCGGAGTCCAGTACCTACCTTCTACGGAGAGCGTATCTGTCTGCGCTCCTCAGGCAGGATGCTGCGTATTTCGAGTCTATGGGTCCCGGGGAGGTGACTACGCGCATCACTAATGATATTAGTCTCATACTCGACACCTTATCTCATAAAGTCAGCATCCTATTGACAGGTCTGTTTGGGTTTGTGGCGGCACTGATAATTGCGCTTTCTCGCAATTGGCGTCTAGCTCTAGTATTGATCTGCATGCCTATTGGAATGATCGCCATCATGGGGACACTGGGAGCCTACATGAGAAAAATGCAACAACAAAGTGGCAGCGTGTATGCGAAATCAGCGGACTTTGCTGAGGACGTATTCTCATGCGCCCGCAGCATGATCGCAGATGGCGCGCAGGGGCGGTTGTCCAAGCGATACGAACAGATGCTGATACCAGCATTAGGAGCCGATCTCCAAAGCAAAGTAGCCATGGCAATGATGATAGCTCTCACGATGACGGTGATTCTCTGGGGGTATGGACTTGCTGTAGGTGACTCTACCGTTGTTGTGTGGATGGCAACTCACCACATCATTCAAAGTTCTGGCAGGGAAATCGCTTCTTACAGAAAGGAGAATCGAGCCTGTCAGATATCGTGACTGTTTTGCTGACATGCACTATGGCTGGGGTTCTGCTGGGCCAGTCTGCGCCATTTGCGGCCTCACTCATGCAAGCTAAGGCGATTTCCACCAAGATCTATGCTACGGTCGATCGTGTCTCTTCCCTTGATGCTTCAACAAATTCCGGACTGATACCCCCCTCATTCAACGGAGACATTGAATTCCAGAGCGTCAGGTTTGCATACCCTTTCCGACAGACTGAGGCCGTTCTGGACGGACTTAGCTTGCAGATTGATGCTGGGACGTCAATGGCAATTGTTGGTCCCTCGGGGGCTGGCAAATCAACACTGCTGGCACTCATCCAAAGATGGTATGATCCATTAGAAGGGAATGTATTCATCGGGGGCCACAGTATGAACCAACTGAATCTTCAGTGGATGCGATCTCAAATTGGGTTCGTTGCGCAAGAGCCATTGTTATTCAATACCTCAATTCATGAGAACATTGTGTACGGTCTAGGTGCAGAGGCTGATCACGTAAGTTTGTAAGACTGATTTGTATATGAAATCTATTCTAACAATTACGCAGCTTGACCAGGATACAATTGTGGACAAGGTACAGGAGGCAGCCAAACTAGCAAATATTCATGATTTCGTCCTGAGTCTCCCTGGGAGGTACTCGACTAGGGTCGGTCAAGCTGGAGGTCTTCTTTCAGGTGGCCAACGCCAAAGGATTGCTATTGCGCGCGCGGTTATCTCCAATCCTCCAATCCTGCTCCTCGATGAGGCAACCTCAGCACTGGATACTAAAAACGAACAAGCCGTTCAAGAGGCTTTGCGGAGGGTTTCCAAGAACCGAACCATGGTAATCATTGCACATCGGTTGTCAACCATCCAAAGCGCCAACAAAATTGCGCTCATGGAACACGGAAGGATCATTGAGGAGGGAACCCACGATGAGCTGATATCGCGGGGCAAGAAGTACGCAAATCTTGTTCGAGCCCAGGAAATTGCACAGGCCCGTCCGCCATTACGATCGAGGCAAGACAACTGGAGGGAGAAAGGGTCTGCCCAAAAGCCGGAGACTGCTGCACCTGTGACAGACTCCATCGACAGTTCGGCAGAGAGGTCTACGTGGGGACTTGTGAAGATAGTCTGGCACCTTAATAAGCCTGAGCGAATACTCATGGTCATTGGGATACTTGCGAGTGCGTTTGCCGGTGCAGGGTACCCCATGCAAGCGATACTCTTCGGCAACGCAGTAGTCTCCATCATATCCCCAAATCTAGCAACTGACGGCCATGATCCCAGATTCTGGGCCCTGATGTATGTTGTTCTCGGAATTTGCCAGTTCTTCTTTTACACGGTCCAGGGAATCTGTTTTGCCATCACTAGCTCCCGACTGGTCTACCGAACACGCACCAATGCGTTCGTTTCCCTTGTTAACCAAGACATGTCCTTCTTCAATCGAGTAGAGAACTCGTCTGGCACTCTGACTGCCTTCCTTGCGACCGAAGCAAGCAAGTTAGCGGGTGTCAGTGGGACCACCTTTGGGGCCATCCTCAACAGTGTCATGACACTCGTAGCCGCAACAGCTGTTGCCTGCTCATTCGGGTGGAAGCTGGGGCTAGTAGCCGGATCTACCATTCCCATTCTGCTAACCTGTGGGTTCTTACGGTTCTGGGTCATATCATGGGCCGAGTCCCACACGAAGCGAGCCACCGATGCAGCAGGCGCAGCATGTGAGGCTGTTTCGGCAACCACCACGATAGCTTCTCTTGGTATTGCAGATAGGATTGTCAATCGATACTGTGAGAAGCTTCGAGCCGAGCAACCCCGAGCACTACGTTTCAACCTTGTATCAAGCATCATGTATGCAGCCAGTCAGTCTCTAGTCTTCTGGGTCACTGGCTTTCTCTTCTGGTACGGTGGAGTAAAGCTGGTTGCATCTGGCGAGTATAGCGTGCAGCAATTCTTTATTTGTTTCACGGCTATTGTCTGGAGCTCTCAGGCGGCCGGGATGGTCTTCTCATATGCGCCAGATATTGCAGGGGCCCGGAGCGCGGCCGTTCAGCTGGCTGACCTTCTTTTCACCCGACCCACAATCGACGTGGGCCTCCAGCACGGTGAAGTTCCGGGGGAAACCTCAACAGGTGTGATTCTGTCATCGGTGGAATTCGAGTTTCCCTCTCCCCGTGGTCCTTCCACAGTTCTACGAAACATTAACCTGACGGCCGAACACGGTCAGCTTACTGCCATTGTCGGCCCCAGCGGGAGTGGGAAAAGCACCATCCTCAACCTGATTGAACGCTTCTACGACCCCACCCGCGGCACTGTTCTGGTGGGTGGAATGGATGTCCGTTGGTATAATCTCGCCCATCTCAGATGTACAATGTCGTTTGTCGGACAAGGCGAGTGGATGGTTGGCGGCACTATACGGGACTGCTTGCTGAGCAACGAGGAGAATGTGTCCCAGGATGAAATCATGGCCGCGTGTAAAAGCGCGGATATCCATGACTTTATTGTCAGTGGCTGGGTCCCTTATAGCACTGGATACAATACTTGAAAGTAGCTAATTGCTGTCTAGATCTCCCTTCCCAACGGCCTTGATACCCCGGTGGGTGGCAAAGGCAGTCGCATGTCCGGAGGGCAGAGACAGAGAATCGCCATTGCCAGAGCACTGCTCCGGAAGCCTAAAATTCTGTATGTACTTGTCCACCAACATTTGCAAATGCAAGTCTACTGATCATTTTCAAGGCTCCTGGACGAGGCAACATCTGCACTGGATACAATTTCCGAGAAGCATGTCCAAAAGGCTCTCACTGCTACCGGAGGAGAGCGGACAACAATTGCAGTCGCGCACCGTCTGGCCTCCATCACTCACGCGAATTGCATCTACGTGATGGATCAGGGAAAGATTGTCGATTGTGGCTCTCATGAGGAGTTGATTGCTCGACAGGGGTTGTACTGGCAGCTATTTACATTGCAAGGCCTTGAAAGTATATAATCCTCATGTAAGCGATCTTGAAGGTTGAGGAATACATGCCGGGTTTTCCATGGGTTGTGTGGGAGGATCATATTGGGCTGATCGGCCTAGCTAGTGCTAGATGGTGAATTAGATCTGAGTCTTAATGTGGCAAACAAAGCCGTTTGGTGTCAAAAAGAGACAGCGAGTCTATAGTTGCCTGGGAGGAACCGCATGATTCAGTATTCAACCTGGTAACCTTCAACTACGGGCTAGTGCGGGCATACTTGACGACATCTGGAAACGGATACATCGGGGATTTTCCTCTATGTATTAAGAGGAGAATGGCCCGCGGATCTGTCGATAACGCAGGGCCCTTAATTTATGTCGGCCTCTTTAGGGGCGAGCTCGGTATCAACGACAAGGGAACGGAGTGGCTTAGGTCGTGTAGTCAATCCCTTTCGAGTTTAATGACTGCCAATCAATCGTCAAGCTCGAACATATTCCCTCATCCGCTCATGGCATCAGACCATAGTTTTGGAGATTTCGCGACAATGCACCCATATCATCATTCTGTTCGACTTCCCTGGTTTCCCCCGCATGCGTTTCGCCTTTAGCTTCATACATAAACGCAAACTCGACAAGAAATGATGCTAAAGTTACAATGCTGTGACACAAAATGAGAACAAGTTTCCGTAAAACGATCTTGAAGATACTCACAATGCAATAAAGCTGAAGGCTTCAGCGGCGTACTTTCTGCTGCAAACGGTTTCCCCGTTCCAGAGGATCACACGACAGCCGACGTGGTTAAAATCGCGAGCCAAGAGAATAAAGGCCGTAAGCCAACTACAGGGGAGACGTTAGTGTACAGGATGTGAGATGGAGTCTGGGGGTGATCTGCGACGCACAGGTACGAGAATGCCAAGTCAAAAGTCAACACTGGAAGGAAATTGCCTTTGCGACGCCTGGTCAGACAGCTTATCGTTAAGGTGATTCCGTATATTGCAGGTGTCAGAACCGCCTGATATATTATTGTTAGATGAACGGCCTAGCCGGGGGTAGATGAGGTTGACTTGCGATGACCAGGGAGTATATCACGGTAGTAGTTTTGGTGTGCTGGACTGCCCAAGCTGTAATCCCGAGCACAATAATTGCACTGGCGCATTGAATGACATGGATACAAAGGGAGAGGACGCTCAGAGCGTCACTTGTTCGCGCGCTACTTGTCATCGTGAATGCCCACCGAATATATGGCCTGAGAGCGCAAAGGAACTACTGTCCGTGTTTACAGATCGAACACGGAGTTTAAATATGTCGGCAATTCGGGTTTCTTGGGTCCTGATGTCACCAGTCGAACGATTTCAGTTTTGACTTTTGCCACCCAACCCATATGCTGTCTGGGATAATTGCCATCCACGGGGCTACTTCATGGTGTTTTGTCCCTGGTGCCAGTGGTATGTCATGGCCAAGAGAGATACGGGGACCTGTAGAAGGTATACTTTGGATCTCTGTCAACTCCTTGTCTACTTTGGGAAAGCTATTAAGTAACACTGGCCTCATGATGACAGTCTAGACCATATTAATTTGCGACTCCACTATGGCTGTAGCCAAACTTCCAGTAACAATAACCTCGGCCCAGCTGGGAAAATGTTAGCGATTGCGAAGACGTCAACGGTCACTAGCCTTATAGACCTGCTCGGGGCTGTTCATGAATCATAGCTATTAGCGCCTCAACCCTAGGGCACAGAGTTAGTCTAGCCCTACGACGCTTTGCACCCTCTGTCTAGTCATGGAGGCGTGTTCCTGCGTCTACCAAAACACTCAACACCGGGGGAGAGAAGGGCAAGGGTCAACAAAGCACTGAGCACCTCACCCACACCACGACCGCGGTTCACCGTGATGCCCTTCACGACAGTCCATTTGCCAGTGATGTTGGCCAGGAAAACATGACTACAAATGATCCTGTTGAGGCAACCTCTACCCTGCACGTTGTTGAAGCGATCGACGACAGGGGTTCTGATTGACCACTGGCGGACAAAGCTGTTGCTCGCCAGTTGCAGGACGACGTTGAAAGTGTCTATATATGTAATAATCCAGAGCTGTCACACTACGAACCGGACCTCACCCCGGTTCGAACAGGCATTGGCAGCGCTGTCCATCATTGTATGGCATCGCGTCTCTTGGTGAGCTTTCTCCCGCCTGAGTGTTTACCCGCCCGGCCCTGATTTCTGTGGTCGGAATTTCCTTCCTCTTTTTTAAATCCTGTGAGAGTACTCACTCATCAAGGCTGAAACAAAAAGCAAAAAGCAAAAAAAAAAGTTAGGCGCGTCAATGCTGTTGCCATGTAAACAAGCCAAAGAGAGAATGAAGCCAGGAAAGAAGAAACAGCGTTGCAAGGTACTTCCACCCACTGTAAGGTTCCCAGATTTTGGATCCGGCCAAGATCCTCAGCAGATCTAGTTCACTTACTACTCCCAAGGGCTTAATTTTTCCTTGGCCCATTCACTCCGGGGTGAGGAAAGCTGCGTCATCGGTTTTTTAGCCGGTGGAGAAGTGTGGGCTACCCTTAATGATTGGTACCGGCATCCGATGTCCGATCTCGCTTAGATCGTCGGTGCAATTTCAATGCCCCTAGGCGCGATTCTCAGACACTCGGTGTTTGACTAGAAGCTTGAATGTAGCCAAGCTTACGTGCTGTCTACATGCTATTGCCAGTTTTCCACCGGACATGGCGAGAGTCCTAGGACAAGCTCGACATGTAGCTGACGCCCCCGTCTCCAGTTAGGATCCATCATTTTCGGGGAGGCGACAGTGTGGTATCAAAAGTGCTGCAAATGGAGACTTCAGCACACTCCTGATTCATTAAACTGGTGGTCCTTCGCTTAGGGCACCCAGGAGACTCTGTGATTCATTCACTCAATCCTTTTCTTTACAGGCAGGGTAGGGAATTTGTTAAATAGGCTGATAAGTCCTACTAGGACAGAAAGGTCCAGCTATTTTTCTTCCGAAGGGTTGTTTTTGTCTCGTCTATTCAGCGAAACTTCATTGATTGAAGTATCCTTCCATTCTTTTACATCCTTACGGCGACTTCATTGACTGAAGTCATTTGCCCTGCACTCCTTCATTATCTATTCTGGTTGACACAACATGTCTCTCTCGAAAGTAGCAAGTGTGCTGCTGGCCTCAGTTTCGCTGGTCGCGGGCCACGGTTATGTCTCGAGCATTGAGGTCGATGGTACCACTTATGGTGGCTACCTGGTCGACACTTACTACTACGAGTCCGACCCCCCCGAACTGATCGCCTGGTCCACCAATGCAACCGATGACGGCTATGTCGCGCCTACTGCGTACGACAGCTCCGACATCATCTGCCACCGTGGCTCTGCGCCTGCTGCGCTCTCCGCTCCGGTGGCTCCGGGTGGAACGGTCAAAATGACCTGGAACACCTGGCCCGACGATCACCATGGCCCGGTCGTCACCTACCTGGCCAAGTGTAGTGGCTCGTGCTCTGACGTGGACAAGACTTCGCTGGAGTTCTTCAAGATCGACGCGGGAGGCTTGATCGATGACACGGACATCCCCGGTACCTGGGCTTCGGATCAACTGATTGACGACAGCTATAGCCGCAGCATCACCATCCCCACGGATATTGAGGCGGGCTACTATGTCCTTCGTCACGAGATTATTGCTCTCCATGGCGCTGAGGATCTGGACGGCGCTCAAAACTATCCTCAGTGTATCAACTTGCAAGTCACCGGTAGTGGGACTGCAGCACCGAGTGGTACCCTAGGTACGGCCCTGTATAAGGACACTGACCCTGGTATCTATGTCGATATCTGGCAAAGTCTCAGCTCCTATACCATTCCAGGCCCCTCTCTCTATACCGCGGGAAGCACGGCTACTGCAACTGCGGCTGCAGCTGCGACCACGACCACTTCAACCACTGCCGCTGCCATCACCACCCCGCCCACTGAGGTCGCGGTCGAGACGAGCGCCGCCGTGGAACCATCTATTCCATCCCAGACGACTCAGATCGCTTCTTCGACGACCGCGACCACGACGGTGGCTGATAACGTGGCTAGCACGGCCTCTTCAGCCTCTTCTACTGCCTCGGGTGTCCTCAGTGGTTCTTGCAGTGACGAGGGTGCCTGGTACTGCAACGGTGGCACAGCCTTCCAGCGCTGCGTGAACGGAGAGTGGGATGCATCGCAAAACATGGCAGCTGGCACCGCGTGCACGGCTGGTATTTCCGACACTCTGACTATTTCTGCTGCCAAGGTACGCCGCGATACACGGTTCCTTCGCCATCGTCGGGCCCACGGTCATCGCCAGTAGATTGAGCGCCGGGATATGCCAACACGATGCGTTCCACGTCGAGGTGTGCGGGGATTGGCAGAATTTGTACAGTGATCCAGGTATCTGATGCTGTATTAGACATCCTCGCTATTTTCTGCTCCCCCTGCTACACTTAACTACCATCACGGTAAATTGAGTGCCATTAGTGGAGCTCATCTTCTGTGTCTATTTGGGTGGACTCCTTAAACAATACTGGATTGTGTTGCCCTAAAAATTTAAATAACGTCGGATCTTAACTATTATACTATGGCCACTCAGCAGACGGAATATATATTGAGCAATATAGGGGCATTCCACAAAGCAAACCTACCCAAGTTTCTAGAACTCAATATCTCAATTTGCTCTTGCTTCGGCGTAGCATATAAATTTGTCGTAGGCAGTTGGGAGTATCCTCCAGAGACAAGACCCACACGATAATACAATCAACCGACCAGGGAGACTCGGAATTAATGCTTTATTTTGACTACGCATCTCGACGACAATATATTCCTGGAAGATACACTAGTTGAATGTGGGTCGAAAATCAACCCGCGTATTCGCTTCCTTGTCAATTGATCCAGGGCACCACGTGGTCATGGGCAACCCTGGTTTCTGCAACTTCAAAGATTATCCGCAGCCAGGCCCAAGTGGGCCATGGCAGCACCAGAGCGCGAATAGTAGCATGCGGATTGGCCGTGTGAAGAGTGGGGGATCAGCTCCACATCCCACTGCTGAATGACGAATTGATGAAAGACGTGATTGTATGCGGAATTACGGCACTCCTGGACTTCTTAATAACGGGTCCACCCACTTTGACAGCCCACACTTTGCCCGCTTTTTCATCTCCTGTCACATTGTTCTCAAAATGGCGAGCCATTCGATCCCCGAAACCCCACGTGTGAAGCTGAACGACAATGTGTCTATCCCAGTTGTAAGATGTTCCGCAGCCTGGGGGCTTCTGGTGAACTAATCGATGCCAACAGCTTGCCTACGGCACCGGTACAGCTTGGTACAAGAAGGGTGGGGACGATTCAGTCAACCGCGAATTAGTCGAAGCGATCAAGACCGCAATCCGACTGGGATACCGCCACCTGGATGGCGCCGAAGTCTACGGCACCGAAGCCGAGCTGGGTGTAGCAATTAAGGAGAGCGGAATTCCACGCGAAGAACTCTTCGTGACAACTAAGGTGATTACAAACATTGCAGATATCCCAAGTGCCATCGACCAGAGTTTGCGCAAGCTTCAACTCGCATACGTGGACTTGTAAGTGCAGGGATGACGAGATCTCAAATACAATGGATTGTATGCCTAA